TAGTGTACACTTAGCCCAGTGGAAATGGTTAAAGGAGGTGCCTTTTCTGGATGCAAATACCGCCTGTAAATGCGGTGCTGGGGAATCCAGCGATTTGGCATCAACAGTTGACATCTTCTCTGTCTGCCGTCAGTGGCGTGCCGTGTTCGTACATTTACTGTGTGTGTTAGGAGCTTTCAGTTAGTGGGCTTGGTTCTGTCTCCAATTGCTTTGCTATTAATTAATCCAAGATGTTGGGATTACTCAAATGGCAGTGATTTAAATGTATCCCAGAGCATATTGGTACTTGTTTTAGTTTTGTGGTTTCAGTTTGTTTTGTTGTTTGGGGAAAAAAGTTCAAAGTTGGTGCTACAGACAAAACACACTGTACCATTTAAGTTACGTAGCTTTCAGGTTCATGTTTTGATAAAATGTTTCATATTTACCTCACTAATTTACTAAAAGCATTCTGAGTTTCAGACAAATTCCATCAAAGCGAAGATTATATTAAAGGGTTTATCAAATAGTGAAAGTAGTTATTTTAAATTTGCTTGACAATTTTGCATGTCCATGTCTACATATGCCTCTCTTAAAATCTACTAGCTTGAGCACAAAGCTATGGTATCTGCCCCTCTCTTACTACAGTTAAATACATTTTCCTTATCTGAGATTGTTGTTTGGCTTTTTTTGTGCAGAAGGGGAGAAATCAGTCTTGAAATTTCACAACATTAAGCAGGTGTCTGTTTACACTGTCCTTCCAAAAGGGAAGATTAATTTATGGATAAGATTCTTTGATGGAGTTCATTTTTCTGTTTACCTAAAAGTCAGGTCATCTTGGTGTCATCCTAAGGCATCAGATCAGTAATTGTTCAGTCCCAGCCTCTAAGAGTGCTGTCCAGCACTGCTGGAGCTGCTGATGTCAAACCCAACTTCGGTACAGCACCTGCTCGTCCTGCTGTTGCCTTCGAAAGAGTGACCTAGAAGAGTCACGGTGTCAGTCATGGGTTGTACTCTTTTTCACTCTGAATTCATCGTTGATTGTAGTGATTCAGAGGAATGACTGGAGCTGTGAAGAGTTTTTATGTCAGAAGAGCAGCTGCTCAGGACCTAGTCCTTAGCCACACCTGCCCTCATTGGCTGTCACAGCTTTCCGAAAGGCAGTCATTATCTTCTGAAGACCTACAGTGTGACTGTTGTAGCAGCTTTCCTTGCATCTTTTTTTTGAGTCATTCCTGGAATCAGTTAGGAGCTGTTTACTGAGTATGTCGTCTTCTTTCCTGGGGCCCATCATCCAAGGGCAGCCACTTTGAGAAACTCATCTTTTATTTGAGCTTTTATCTTCTTGCCTGTTTTTATACTTCGTCTGTCTCGTGTTGACTTTCATGCACATTGTGTTGGCTTGGACTTTGTCCCCTTTCGAGTGTGAAGGAAGCGCTCAGTGTTCTTCTGGGAAGCATTACTTCTGCCATTTAAAACATTCCTGGATTACCATGATATTTATAAAATTTAGAGGCCAAATATAAATGTTTGCTGCACACTCATAATGCGTTCAGCCTTTTTAAAGACCGCATAAGCTTCATTAGTAAAATTAGCGCTTGACTTGCTGTTAGAACCGCCTCAGCTAGGAGACCTGCATCTGAACTGTGGATTATCATGGGACTACGCTGCGAGGACTTTGGACCGTTGCTGCTCTTTTTACCCATGTATGAGGCCAGCTTACACCAGACACTGCAGATATATGCTGCACATTTTTTTTTTGGTAACTGATAATTTTTGTGTCTCCTGGGAAATAGAAAATAAAGGCATATCATAACGGCAAATCAGAAAGTTCTGATTTCAAGTCTCTGGTATGAGAGCTATGTCTTCAGAAGAGTTGAAGAGTGGAAGGAACATGACAGTATTAAAGCAAGGAAAAAGGTACAGTTTGATTAATAATTTTTTTAAAATCTTAAAAATCAATCCTTCATCATCAGTGTGAGAAGGTAGTGTTTTACATACTCTGCACGAAACAGACCCGTTGTTGATGTCAGTAGAGGATACAGCTGGCTCTCCAGGATGGCATTTCTGGGAGGCATTTGAATCTGGAGAAGGCACCTCATACCTCATCAGAATCATCCTGAAGAGATGTATCTTTTTTGCAGATTTTGTTTTTCTCATTTGATTGTAACTAATTGGAGTGCATGGAGTGCACCCTCAGCAAGTTCGCAGATGACACCAAGCTGTGTGGTGCCGTCGACACGCTGGAAGGGAGGGATGCCATCCAGAGGGACCTCGACAGGCTGGAGAGGTGGGCCCGTACCAACCTCATGAAGTTTAACCAGGCCAAGTGCAAGGTCCTACATCTGGGTCGTGGCAATCCCAGGCACAAATACAGACTGGGCGGAGAATGGATCGAGAGCAGCCCTGAGGAGAAGGACTTGGGAGTGCTGGTGGACGAGAAGCTCAATATGAGCCGGCAATGTGCTCTTGCGGCCCAGAAGGCCAACCGCATCCTGGGATGCATCAAGAGGAGCATGGCCAGCAGGTCGAGGGAGGTGATTCTCCCCCTCTACTCTGCCCTCGTGAGACCTCACCTGGAGTATTGCGTCCAGTTCTGGAGTCCCCAACATAAGAAGGACATGGACCAGTTGGAGAGGGTCCAGAGGAGGGCCATGAAGATGATAAGAGGGCTGGAGCACCTTTCCTATGAGGACAGGCTGAAAGAGTTGGGGCTTTTCAGCCTGGAGAAGAGGAGGCTCCGGGGTGACCTTATAGCGGTCTTCCAGTACCTCAAGGGGGCCTACGAGAAAGATGGGGAGAGGCTGTTCAGGAGGGCCAGTTGTGATAGGACAAGGGGTAATGGTTTTAAAATAGAGGGAGGTAGATTCAGGTTGGATATTAGGAAAAAATTTTTTACCATGAGAGTTGTAGAACACTGGAACAGGTTGCCCAGAGAGGTGGTGGATGCTCCATCCCTGGAGACGTTCAAGGCCTGGTTGGGTGAGGCCCTGAGCAACCTGATCTAGTTGGAGATATCCCTGTTCCTTGCAGGGGGGTTGGACTAGATGACCTTTGAAGGTCCCTTCCAGCCCTAACGATTCTATGATTCTATGATTCTAATGCAAGCATCAGCAATGCTGAATCAAATACACTGGTTTTCTAACTCCGTTTCTTTTCTCATCCACTATCTGAATTACCAAGATGTACATGTCAAACCTTTCCCCATCCAGATATGTAATAGCCATCCCTCTTGCTTTTAGCTCATCTGTGTACATGTTCCAGTTCTGTAAATGCTTTTTTGCTGTCAGTTTACACAGTTCCCAGCACTGGCTGTTCTTTTCCTGTACTACCCCTCCAGCTGGCTGGTGTAGCTGCTTGGGGTTCTGGATGAACTGTCAGGGAACTTATCTGCGTTAAAATAATCTTTTTTGGAAAGGATCCTTTGTAACTTGGGTGAGTTGTTTGATCTGGTTTCATGTGTAGTCTCACAACTGTAAATGAGCAACTGGAAGGAAGGTACCAGACTAGGAGTGAGGGAGAGGAGGTGGGATCTACTTAAGCCATTACTTCTGCTGAAAGAATTGGAAATGTAACTGTGCCTTGAAAAACGGAGGTGATAGATCTGCGAATCAGTCAGTGCTTGGTTGTCTGATGGCATTAGGATATGGGATATTTTGGGTTTCTTATCTGCATTAATTTGACATTGTAGTCCCAAAGTGTGTGGAAAAAAATACTTCGTTTCATGGTCAGAATGTTGTGCTGAATAGACAGTACAATTTTGCAGGCATATTGTAATTTTCCAGCTCCCAATGTAAGATCTAATGCTCTAAAATTGGTCCTACACGTGGGTTGGGGCAATCCCAAGTACAAGTACAGTCTGGGCAGAGAATGGATTGAGAGCAGCCCGGAGGAAAAGGACTTGGGAGTGCTGGTGGATGAGAAGCTCAACATGAGCCGGCAATGTGCGCTGGCAGCCCAGAAAGCCAACCATATCCTGGGCTGCATCCAAAGGAGTGTGGCCAGCAGGTCGACGGAGGTGATTCTCCCCCTCTACTCAGCTCTCGTGAGACCCCACCTGCAATACTGTGTTCAGTTCTGGAGTCCTCAACACAAGAAGGACATGGAGCTGCTGGAGCAAGTCCAGAGGAGGGCCACGAAGATGATCCGAGGGCTGGAGCACCTCTGCTATGAAGACAGGCTGAGAGAGTTGGGGCTGTTCAGCCTGGAGAAGAGAAGGCTCCAGGGTGATCTTATAGCAGCCTTCCAGTACTTAAAGGGGGCCTACAGGAAAGCTGGAGAGGGACTTTTTACAAGGGTATATGGTGATAAGACATGGGGCAATGGATTTAAACTGAAAGAGGGACGATTTAGATTAGATATAAGGAAGAAATTTTTCACTCAGAGGGTGGTGAGACACTGGAACAGATTGCCCAGAGAAGTTGCAGATGCCCCATCCCTGGAGGTGTTCAAGGCCAGGTTGGATGAGGCTTTGGGCAACCTGGTGTAGTGGAGGATTTCTCTGCCCATGGCAGGGGGGTTGGAACTAGATGATCTTTGAGGTCCCTTCCAACCCAAGCCATTCTATGATTCTAAAATGCTGTACCACAGCCCAAGAAACTTTTGTTCTCTTCTTTATTTGTTTATAAAAGTGAGCACATCAGTTGCTGTCCTCCAGCCCTCTGAAAGAGTGGCTCCTGGGGAAAATACTCACCTTTTTCTTATATAAGGGAGATTGTTTCAAAGTAAAGACCAAATGTGTTTATCGTACTTCTGGTTATCTGCATCTATGTGAAGATTAAATATGGGGACATCTGCATATGAAGTAATATTTTGAAAGACTGACAATGTCTTTCTTTGCCCTGTGTTATCTGGAATATACTTTGCATTGTCTGTTGAATTTGCTTTGGTTTAGACATATGTGAGAATTTGCACCGTGCTCTTTGTCTTTCTCTCTTTTATTTCTCCATGATGGACAGTACTGATTTCTAGTTATGCCATATTACATTAGCAGGTATACTGACTGTATTGTCTATTACTTTCAGGCACGTGGCCATGGAGGCTATGAGTCTGATTTTAGTGATGAGGAGAATGGAGAGAAGTCTGTGCAAAAGGCTAAAAGGTAATGTAGTACAGAATTAACACTTTGCATTGTGTATTTTGTGCAAATGGCCTATTACTGTGTATAGAAGATTATCCTGTGGTATGTAAAGTCTGGTGCTGAAATGGTTTTCGAAAAATCAATCTCTTCGATTCCTACATCTCTTCATGTCAAGCTTGCCGAAGCATGTTGTCTCCCAGGGGCAGCTGATTAAGATCCATTCTGCCACGTCCATCTGGTGTCTATATGCCCCTTGGTTCTTGGAGCAGAGTGTTTCTTTTTTCTGAGCATTAGTATCAACTGCTGGGATTTGGCTGCGCTGTTCACTTCACTTCGCTGTGATCCATCAGGACACGTGGAACTACTAAGACAGCATGGCAAGAAAGGCCAAGTGGCAGCAGGTTTTGTAGATATAAAACACCTGCTTGGAGGAAGTGAAGAGCTGATGCTGTTTGTTTATTATTTAATTTGTGAAAAGACCTGGGAATTGGTGAATTGTGTTGTACTCAATCCTTGAAGCGTAACTACATGTCTCTTACTTGAGATCACCTTTGCCAGTTTTTCAGTGGCTCGCACAATTAGTGACCTTGATTTTTGTAGTCTGATCTCATTATATTATTAAGAGGTTTATTTATGGGTGTATTGTGGTTTGACACCATAATGCTTCGACACCTCCTGCACCGTACTGAACATTTTGCCTACATGATGCATATATTTTTCTTAGCTTTTCCTGTGTCTCCCTTGCTCTGTTATTGGACTTTATTTAAGAAGGCTTTCTGGAAACTCTCCTAGGACTCTTGCATATTTTCCTTTGTAGTAAAAGTAAAAGAATGGGTTTTGTAGTATCTGACTGCATTCTGGGGGAAAAAAAATCGTATTTTAATCATTGGAATAATAGCAGGCATTGTGCTGTTCTATTTATTTTACAAGTATTGCTGGGGTTTTTTATGACTGGTTTTGTTCAGTTTTCGTTTTCTTTAAAAGAACATTTCATATTGCACCATTCCACTTTCTAGGTGGAATATTAGCTAACCATCAGGAGCCTTTCAAAAATACCATCATTTTCCTTGTTCTGGCACACTGCTACTGATTCCCAATCGGGCTCTTATGTGGGTTCACTGTATGTGTATATATCCTTTCCTTGCTCTATGAAGATATTTATTTTCACTATAAGGAAAATAGTAATCTTAAGTTTTCTACATATTGCTGTTTTATGGAGTCTCCTTATGGGAATTTTGTGCCTACAGATCCTTTTGAGCAGATAATACCCTGAGTTTCTAGAGTCCTATATTCCATAGCTTGAAATATAAATCCCCTGGCTTGCTTTCTACAGACTTCTCACTTCCATTCTTTCTGCCAGCTGATAATTATGGAAACATCTTTTCTTCACCTCTATTGAGGAATGAAACTAACTAAATATACCTTTTACTAAAGTGCGTCACTTTATATTTAGCTTTCTATTACTTTGTTGAATTCTGAAAGTGTTTTTAGCTGCCCACTGACAAGTTTGGTTCACAACACAGTACTTAAGTTTTAAATTAGTGACTTTTGTGATTACACTAAGAGAGGCAGAGCTGTTTAATGAGGTGTTGAGACATTAGGCTGAAAGGATGGGATAGGGTTACTAGCAGTCAGTTATTCAGTGAACATACTGTCCTTCCTGTTCCTACTTGGGTGAGTAGCTGAGATTTATAGAGGGCTTTAAATGCAGAGTGAAACTGAGGGATCTTCAGGGTTTTTTCGTTGTGGTTCTATAGTGATAATATTGATAAAAATAAATATTACAAATTGCTTTTTAAAGCAATTTTCTTTAAATGCTAACTGTAAGCAAACGCCTTTCCGATTTTGTTCTGCAAATGAAGTCTAAGCTGATGTTTGTTCTAAGTGTGGTTTTATTCACATAGAAAATGGCAATATAACAGGTTTTGTTATTCAAGTTAGTTCAGAGTTTGGCATGTGGAAATTTTATTGCTTACAAAAAATGCTTGACTAACTTTTCTTCCTTTTTCCCCTCTACCTTTAGTATAAAGGAAGATGGCCTTCTGATAAAGCCATTCCAAAAGGCAAAACAAGGCGGTGTGGTTCACAGACAATTTGCAGCTGAAGAATGGGATAGGTATCTTATCAATTGCTTTTGTGAGACACTTTTCCCTTAATGTGAACATAGCTTTCACTCAAACATACTTGTTTTTAACAGGGAAGAAGCAAGAAAAAGAAGATTTCACTTGATAGCGATGGATGCCGTATCCTTTTTCTTCAGGTTTGAAGATGGGGCACAGGTTATCCATTATGGTGAAATACTTGGATTTCACAGTTATCACAGCAGTTGACAGTGCGACACCAGATACTGAGTTGTTCTTCAAATTAGCTTCTTTTTGTTGCTGAGATGTCTCTGAGAATGCCTGTACTGAGTAGAGGCATTTCCAAATTCTTCCTGTATGCTGATTTGTCCTGTTTGGTACAAAATTATTATACGGTGAATTTTATTTAGACTGGCACAAAGACACTTTGCTCTTTCAGTTGAGTTTATGCAGAACGTAACTCTATATAAGGCTGCTATTATCTGTGGACAAATACGTTTCTACTGGAAATTTAAAAATGCGTTAGTTAATTCAAAAGTCTATTCAAAACAGTCTTCTCTCCAGTAATATCTTCTACAGATGCTCTAATGTAAGCCTGTTTAATATCATGTGCAGTTTTATTTTATTTTTTTTAATCTCTTATGCATATTGCATGCATAATTTGTAACTATTTTTATAACTACTACCTTATTTAGATTACAATCTTTCTTCTTCTATTTAATTTTTACTTGGTGCAGTCATTACATGTTTTGACTGAGTGTATCTGAAATACCATCAGTTCCTTGTTTGTTTAAATAGCTGTTCTTCAGCAGTACTAGTTAATAAATAGGAAAGTAAAGACTAATTAAATACGGAAAGACTTACTTAAATCTGGAAACTCAAATAAACAGAAAGGCAACTTCTCCTAACCTGCTTAGAATTTGGCCAGGCTCTACATAAACCATTGCCTGCCTGTAAAGTGGACATATCTTCGTCAGTCTCACTGACATTGTAGGCTGTCATTAGCCACAGAAAAGCCTGTTTATTCTGGAATGACTACAAAACTTATTGTGTAGAGACTTTTATGAATTTCTGCTAATGTTTTTGACTGGTTCCTATTAAAACCTTTAGTGTTATGCAATTTTAACACCTAGTAGCTCAAGTGGCAGCACAAAATGATATATTGTGTTCAATATGTTTAATTGTGCCAGTTAAACCTTCTGGGCTTGCTTCTCTTTTCCTTCTGTTGGTGGTAGAAAGAGAAAAAAAGACACGTGCTGAGGTTAAATTAACTTTTTGGGGGCCTTTGGAAAATAAAATGTTTTCTCAATAAAATTCTAATGCATGCCAGAACAGCATGTTGATACAAATTATTCACACTGATGCAGTAGTTGCTAGGATATGTTCCAGGAGATAATGTATTTCCTAATTTGCTGCTTCAGAAACACCATACAAGTTAATTGGAAATATTTTTAAGTAGCCATATATGATGTTTTTATTTGTGAAGACACTTATTTTCTGAATAAGTAATTACACATTTTTTCTCAAATTATGGTGCAAAATGTGTTTCAAATCATTCATCTGAGGCCAAAGTTTTCTAAAAAAAGCATTACATATTTTCATCTTCAAACTAAACCAGATAACTTTTATTTGTATGTTGATGGTAAAATGTAATAAATTTTTCCATTTTAATAGCCAGACTATTTTTGTTTATTCGTATAATAAAATACAAACCTGTTTTAAACCAAAACTGCATATACTAAGAAGCTATTGTCTAAAGTACAGCTGAAAAAATGAATCTAGTTTCTGTGTATATGTGTACAGAGCATCTTTGATAAAGGAAGACAACTTTATAAAAGTCTGGCAACTGAATGAGATTTTAAAGATGAAATTGCCTTGAATTCATGCATTTGGAAAGCAGCTTTTATGAGAGGTTATTAAGTAAAGAATGCTAATTAATTCCTTTCTTCCTGGAAATTACTGGATTAGTTTTGCATAAAAAACTTCTTTCTGTTAAGTGTATAAAAAGTTGTGGTTTTTTTATTTTAAACTATGGTAAAATAAAAGAAGACAAGTTCTGGAACAATCCTTAATTGCTTATTCAGTATGAAAGACATAAAAAGTTTGTGAATGACTACATTTTATACTATGGTGGCAAAATAGAGGATTTCCGACGTTCTAGGTAAAAACCATTAGCTGTCTTTCCCCTCATGCCCCCAAAGCTACCCTGTTCTGTAAAGCTGTTAAATATGTATTATAGGTTTGGGGGGAGTGGGGATGAGGCTATGTATGAAATTACTAATTCTTTCGGTTACAAATAGTAACTGCAATCATTGTAAATATCCAAAACAAAGAATTGGCCTTGTTTCATTTTGCATCATTGTTTTTATGTAAGGACTTACCATGAGCTGAACTGTTCTTGTTTTGTTATGTAAAAGAAAAGATGGCAGGTGAGCATTAACTGAGGGTACATTGAGAAATCTCTGGCAGTACCTTCAAAATAACAATCTGAAATGCTTTTGAAATGTGCAGAATTGCTATCTGTTGTCCAGAATAATGATAACCTTCTTTAGAGCTATCTATAACTGCCTTCTAACATTACTATCTTCAGTAAAAAGTATTAAAAGTATTTTCAGACCGGATCAAGTCATCTACAGTTTCAGTGGCCATTTCCCACTGTGAATTTTTCACTTGGGAAGAAGTATGCCAAGGAATCACTTTTTTTTGTAGTTTTATTCCATAGCAAAATACTTCTTCATGTGGTGAGGTGGAGATCACAACTGTGAAGTACTGATGTTTGCCAAATTATTATTTGTCTGACTTTTCATTTTAGTGTTACATTGTACTAAATAAAATGTGTCCTTTTGTAGCGCAAATGACAAGACGGACCTTGATGTTATTAGAGAAAACCATAGATTCCTGTGGAATGAAGATGATGAAGCAGACATGAATTGGTACCTGGAACTATTATAGAACATGTTATTTTTAGATCGCTTGTACTAAATTTGTGACATCCCCTACTAATTAAGAATTACTGTGCATACTTAGTGATCATTCTTTGATCTTTAATGCATTTAAAAATGAAAGACCTTTAGGAGGTCCTTCCTCTTGGAATATCACTCAGTGCCAAAAGGAATTTATGACAGAAAAAAAAGAGAAATATTTGTGCCTTCTCTGAGATCCAAATGACTGTTCTGAACACTCTGAAGGAAGCTTAGTTTGAAAAAATATAGTTTAATTTGTGCTGTAGATATATTTTAGATTTATTTTTCCGATTTTACGGAAATTACCCCTTAGCTCAATGTGTGTATTTGTTTGCATGAAAGATGAAGCAACGTGTCTTGGTCTTGCTAATGTCATTACAATGTAAAATGAATTGTATCAGGTTCTGTATTTAATAAAAAATAATACCTTTTGTTATAGGGAGAAGAGACTTGCAAAGAAGTATTATGATAAATTGTTCAAAGAATACTGTATAGCAGATCTCAGTAGATACAAAGAGAATAAGGTATGTGTGATTATTGTAAATTGTCTTGGTTTTAAAGTACGTCCTTTTTTTTAGAAATTGCCTTATGATTGTGGATATGTTTTGAAACCAGAATGTTAGTACCCCTTCCCTAGAAAGAGAGTTGTGAGAACTTGTCAAGTTATTTAATAAGCAGCAGCAGTTTGAATCCAAGCATTGTTGCTGCCCCAAGAATGTGCTTCTGTGGGAATAGGAGCATTTTTGTCAGATGGTGTGAAGAGGTACATTGTGTGTAAGAAAGACAGAAAAGGCAGAGAGGTTAAGGAGAAAAGGCTAGAGAAGTTTGCCTGGAGAGAAGCAGGAGATGAAGCCTAAAAAAACCCTGGGAATGTTACTGTTTAAAAAAAAAAAAAAAAAAGGAGTCTAAAAAGGGAGAGTTTTGTACTTGAATGCTGGCAGAAACGATTTTGGAAATGTCTGTTCTAAAGCAGCGTCTTTTGCTGGTTGTTCTTTTCTGTTTATGGAAAGAGGATTTGTATGTTCTTTGTAAATAAATAGATTTCTTAAGAGAAACAGCCTAGTTCCAGCACCAGTTTTTCTTCTCAACCAGAGCAGCCTTTGTTGTTTCCAATTTTTTGACTAACTCTTAGTCAAGAAGAATATGTCAGTTTTCTGTTGTAATTTTGCTAAGAGTGTTGCAGAACTCAGATGCATCTTAGTGTTGTTAGCACATAGTAACAACACAGCTCTGCAAACAGTGTCTATATAAAGTTCTTTGAAATTATTTATAATATTGAAAGTTACAATCACTGGTAAATATTTGCAAGGACTAGGCTTAAACTCTAATATTAGGCAGAAAAGATTACAGCCTTCTAAAGAAAATTAGAACAGAAAAATGAAAACATTAAATGACAATTAACAATAAGTAAAATGCTGAAAATGTCTTACCTCTTTTTTTGAGTAAATTTGGTTTAATTTTCCTATGGCTGTTTCGTATCCATCAATCTCCACCCCACCCCCCCAACTCATTTTCCCTTGAGCATGCTTACAGATTTTGTTTCTTTCACTACTGTGCCAAGTTTCCATATGTTTGCTATCTTTTGTGGGAAACTGTTCTGCCCCAGTTTCCTTTTTTTGTGTGTGTGTGTGTGTGTTGTGTGAACAGTGTTTCCCTGTCAGACTTCAAATGTGGCTGTCCTGACTTTGAGGTCACTCTGAATTCCTATTTCTGCTCATAAGTCGGTACCTATATTTTTGGAATTGCCATGTCAGCATAACTCTGCTGTATCATGTAATTTGTTCTCTTACATTAGGTTATACTTTCTGTTCTTGAAGATGTTCTGACCATGTGAGAGTCCTTTCTTAGAAATTCATAGAAAAATAGAAAAAATGAGATTTTTCTCAATTACTGACTTATCCATGCCCATGTTTGGTAGAGAAGGATGTCAAAGCAGTTTTTTTCTTGGAAGTCAGAAATAGGCTGCTGATCCCATTCACACCAATGGAATGCAGTCTGTGCTTCCAGATTCTTTCCTGCCTTGATTTTTTTTCTGTGTTTCCAGAAACTGGAAGTTGGTTGTCTTTAGCCCCTCGTGCCTTCTGTTTTGCAGTGCTGATTCTATGAGAGGAGCAGGGTGGGTAAGAAGCTTCTCAGCTGGCCAGTATTTTGAATGATAGTTGTTGATGCTCTACATGATGATGCTTCATCTTGATATAGTAAAGAAATCTTTTACAGTGAGAACATTAATTCACTGAAACAACCACCCCAGTGACGTGGTGAAGTCTCCCATCACTGGAGATTTTCAAGATGCGATTGCACAGGGTGCTAGATAATCTCATCCAGGCTCCTGTTCCCATGGAGGCTGGACCAGATGATCTTTCAAGGTTCTTTCCAACCTGGGCTGTTTTGTGGTTCTATATCCTGCTAGGTGGTGTCAAAGTAAAGTTGGAGATCAGTTTTCTGTGATGTTTTTTAAATATATATATATACACACATATGTATATTGTATAGTTTGAGACTTGCACATACGTACTTATCTGTCTTTTCACAACTGTAATTGTTTTGATACTAGCCAAAATCTTCTAGCCAGCTAATTCTTCTAAAGATCTCTGCATAGAGATTTTAGCTCAAATCTAATTTATAACTTTTCTTCTGAGAAAAAAAACCACTGTTTTCCTAAGTACGAGATAATGATAAGAACCAATTTTATTGGGGGGCCTCCCTCAAGGTCTGAAAAATAAACAGAGCACCTTGTCAAAGACAGAAACTCGAAAGAAAACAGTAAGAAGCCCCAAGACATTTAAACACCCAAGGCTACAGCTGAACTCCAGTTGCTGGTCAAAATACTTCACTCACATATGCGCATACATATACACATACGCACACAGAGAGATGGCTGTGATTCCCCTGGTCCCATAGCAGACCCCTCCCTGTGCTCTCACACTCAGAACTGGTTGGTGCAGATCCACTCACCCTCCTTGCTCCCAGGCCACTTCACCTAGCTGATGGCTAGTCTGGCTTGGTCCTCACTGGTGCTCACACACTCACTTGCACACCTGCACTCACCTCGGTTGCTGGCACTGTAGGCAAATGGGACCCTGTGACCTACAATCCTGCTTTTCTTTGTGAAGCTGGGACATACAATCTTTTTGTTCTCTTTTAATTAGAAATGTCAAGGTGACCCTCTGGTGTGAGGCTACTTAGAGACACTGGAAGAGTGTGCTCTGACAGTTCTTGTTTGTGATGGATCTATTACATTTTCCTTAGATCAGAATTTTCTAGGTCGAGATTGTCCTTGAATCTTCAGTGCATCTTGTCTGCAAGCTTTGAGGCTGATAAATAACTGTCTGTATTGTCAGATAGTTTAGTTCTATTGTCAGTTTTGCAATGCAGTAAGGGAGAGTGCTCTGCATCTAAGTTATACTTTGATACACATTGGACTAGAAATGTCCTCTTGTCTTTGTTGTCTTATTTTCCTAGAAAGGTTCTTATTTGCTGTCTCTGTGCTTTTTTTTGTAGCTTAACAGATTGGAAATGTCTCCTATTTGCTAAGAAATGAAATCTGTTTGACACCTGGTCGTTAAATAGAATACATTTTATTCTTTTGTTTTTATTTCTAGGCCAACTTGTCTTCCACTTGGTAATGTTAATGTGTTCGTTTTTGTAGTTGATTTTAAGCATGGAGGCTTTCTTGTGAAAACAAAAATATTTAAAATCTCTATGGCATTTTTTCATAGGGTTGTCTAAATTAATACATTTCATTTTTTCTGAAAGAGGTGACTATGACATGTTGTTGCTGCAGCGAATGCGTATTACACAAGCAGTCCGTATTTAATTTGGGAATTTTATTGTTTATGGATATTAAATGGTCTTTCGCATTTTTAAAACTATCACTTCTTATTAAGTTATCCACTTGATACTCTTGTAAAGCATCTGTTTTGGAATTGTTCTACTTGGTGTTGGTCTACCTTGTAGAAATAGCTCATTTAGCATCTTATTGAACTCAAACAAAGAAGATGAGGCAGAATAAATGCTGTCTGCCAATGATACTTTTGCATTCCTTAATATTGAAGAATCTACCCTAATTTTAAATTTTCCTATATAGTTTAATCTGTTCCTGATATTTTAGCTTAATTGAAGGCATTAAATTGTATTTATTTTTTATTTTATTGTTTCTTCTTAGCCTTGGTCACTGTCACTTTCCTCTAGTTGGTGGAAGAGTGATTGGCAAAAATGAATATGGATGAGTACAACTTTTGTTGTAGATGTACAACAGGTGGTTCTGGCTCCCTCCTTTCTTTTATTTTGCCTATTTTTCTTGATATCATTACATAAATACAGTGTAAGGATATAATCTGATTTATATCTTATTGAGGAGTCAAGATTGAACTGCGAGAGAAAATTTATATAAAAGTCTACTTCAGTAGCAAACGTGAGCATGGATAACTTGATGATTGGTGAAGTAGCAGGTGAACTACTAAAAAGCAAACATACAGATAAGGTCAAATTGTTTTTTACTCTTTAATGTCAGCAGCACACATGCAAAATTGGTGCCAAAATACTGTTGATGTTTAGTCGTAAACTTGCAGGATTTTTCAGTTGCATCACAAGCTTTTTAGAATTAGAATACCCTGTAAAACAGCAAACAGCCTTTAAAAGAGCAAAACCAATTACCATCACTTTTTGGATCTTCTGGTTTCCATAATTAATTCTACATTTACAGGTGTATTTTACATTTTGTTTTTGCCGAACTGTTCAGCGCGGTTCTTGGTTTTTTTATGATTGATTGATTTCTGTTTGAGTGAAGCATGAGTGGTATAATGGTACTTTAGACCACACTGCAGATTTATAGAGTAGGCCAAGCACAACCTGATCCAGCCTTAGCAAACTGTCATCATACACAGTACGATAGCAGAACCTGATATTCTCCTGTGACTTTTTTACCAGTGAAACCAGTAGGTATGAAAACATTTAAAAATTAGTGGACTGATTTAAAGAGAGAAGTATTTTGTTGGTGTGAAAATTTTTAGTTTTCTTGGACTTTTTTATGTAATATATTGACTTGAGGAAAATCAGTGCCAACAAAACTTTTGGCTACTGATGTCTTTCTGTACAGTTTTTTCAGCTTTGTTATTAAGGTGCAAAGCATTTATGTGAGTGTGGCACATTCTTAAAAGCCAAAACTTTTGTTTTTCTGATGGTCTTTGGACCACATACCACTTTGTGCATGAAAACTCCATGCTGTTGCCCTTCAGATAAAGTATTATTATGGTTTATTAAAAAAACAACAATGTTAAAGACCACACACAGCAATAGATAGCTGTATTTCTGAACAGTGTTTAAAATTAGATTAAAACCATTGAAAATCAATCCAGTATATAACAAAATTTATGGCACTGCATCTACAAAATGCATATTTGGATGGGTTTAGTCTATGAGTGCACCAAGGGAAGGCTCATATTCCAAAGGGCACTTTGGAACTCAGGAGCCAGAGATGGGCTTTGCAGCCATTTTTGTACCTCTTTGGTTTTGTAACCTTTCTTTCCCCTCTTCCCTCGCCATCTTTTAACATGAAGTTCAGAATCTTCTGTGCTTTGCTTACAGAGCAGCAATTTTATCTTGTTGTCATCCTGTGTTCATGAATTTTAAATGAAAATACAAAATAGCCCTTTTCGAAGAAGTTATATTCCTCTGATTTTTATCCCTTCTTTCTACTTGTTAGTGAAAATAAAATTGTTTTTCCCAGGCTGTTCTCACTGTCTTCCATCTTCAATCTTTTCACTAGGCTACTTGCCATTTTGAGAGGATGAAGGCAGATTTTACTGGAAGACAAAAATAGTAGATGGATTATCTACGTGTGAAGTTTCTAGGCAATGTAAAGAGAAATACAACTTAGTTGTTGGGGTTTTTCTTTGATCTTAGCCTTTAGGGTATAAGAGGTGATACATTGATAGGAGCTAGTATGACTTTCCAGCATTCTGGTGGTCTTCTCAGTTTTTAGTGTGGCCAAAATTGCAATGAAGTATCTAGTAAAGTCAGTTTATCCTGATTTCCTATTTGTTCTTCTGCCTGCTATGAAGCCTTTTAGAAGGGCTTCTACTGGAATTTGAATTGTATGTGTAAATGGGAATCCTGGTGAGCAGAGCAGAAAGATATTTTTAATTAACAGAGAAATAAATTAATTTTACTAAGCATAATTAAATGGATGAACCACATGCAGGAAATCAATCAACTGAAATTAGTCTTTACATTACTGAATACGTTGACTAGTCACAAGTTAATTTTGGTTCTTATCTTATAGTTTGGTTTTAGATGGCGACATGAGAAAGAAGTAATTTCAGGAAAAGGTAATGCTGTCTTTTATTTTATATTAAATTTCTCCCTGGTGCTTTTCTTGCTGCTTTTGAGATAACTTTGTTAGTATTTGAAAATACCAGTAATTTTATCAGATAATAACGAACAATAAATTTACCTAACTTCGCTGTTTTATGACACATAGCTCTGGAGTGCACACTGATCTGCGTATTTTAAAATTAAGAGAACGTGATTTATTTTCACAAGGTCAGATTTGTAATGAACACCAACATAATGCATTTGATAATGTCGAATTTCATGGATATGTTTTTTAGCTGCTTTTCTGCAGTAATTCAATGTTACTTCATTAGTCTTGGATACCTTTGATTGAGGTCTCTCAATACTTTTTCTCAGGAAATAATTTTCTTAATAGTTTCTCCAATGTTGTTTTGTAAAACGTTAACTTTTTTATTAAAATTCCATGTGTGATGTCTTGTTTAGGCTAAACTGGTTTTGAAAGATTCAGTGGGAATGACTGTCATGTCTCCCAATCCTGTTTCTAAATCAGTAGCTTGTTCCGACTGCTTCTGTATATGAGTTCTCACCAATGTGTTATTGGGACTTTGCACAGTGGTTCCCATTCCATGGCCTCGGCACATGGACTTTTTCAAGTAGCTGAACAAGCAAGGAAATGGTGTGAATGTATTGCTACTCCTGTGGGCAGGTCTTCGTACACGAACATAATGTTTTCAGAAGTTGTGCATGCACACACAAGAAAATTGCACAGAGTGATACTATTGATCAGAACAGTTCTGTAAACAGCTCTATTATAATATATTACAAGAAGCTAGAAATACACTTGTTTTTAAAGAAAATTTATATCATATTTCACAGAGGAAACGTGGACATTAATGGTGGGTTTTTTTGACCTATGAAGATTAAAGCTCCTAAAGGTGGTTGTAGGCATATGTTGCATTCAGCGTTACAGATTATATTAACAGATAGTTACATTTGATATATTTACATACTTTATTGAATGCTTTAAAAAGAAAATTAAATGAGATATTAGTAATTTAGGAAAAATAATGTCTTCATGGGGAAAAATAATTTAAAGCTGCATTGTACTTTTAATGCCTGGTACTCTGTATTTAAAAATGTGGGAGAAACTGCAGAATTACACACTCTAAGCTTTTTCATGAAATCCTAATGGAAAGCGTTCCATTGAAACAGAACTGAGAAATAGTATCTGTCACCACTAAGGGGCGCAAGAATTCAGCCTTATCCCCTGTGCTCTTCCCAAGTGCCGTTTCAAATGGTCATTTTAAAAGAGGCACGAATCTTTAATGCCTTTCTTTTGCTATTTTTATGTATAAATCAGTAATGGAAATGGGTTTAATTAAACGTGATAAAGCATTAATACCTACCTGCTTGATAATTCATATTAATGAAGGGAGAGCATGAGCTTTTTTCAGCTGTGACAAAAATAATGGTGATGAGAACCACTGCTGGTGCACTGTGCTGCAGTTTAGGGTGTGTTGAGAACGGAACATTGGAATGAGTGAGTTACATTTGGTTGCTTTGTTTTTGATGTTTGTCTTTGTAAGATCGTGGAGAAGAAGAGTTAGGATGAGTGAAAAGAGAGATATCCCTTATATTACTAATTATAAATGCCAGATTATTTCTTTCTCTTCTTTTCTTTCGCACTCCAATCTTTTGCCATAGGTGTTTTGAAAGGAGGTCATAGAGATTGCTGTTATATCACCTCAAATTTAAAATGTAACCTTAATGGCTGTTAGTGGTGTTGTATGTTGCCAGTTTCAATAAATGGTTCCACAAAATGGGCATTTTCTTAATTAAAATCTTAAGGTAGAAACCCTCCTTTACATTTTATAAGTCAATGAATAGTAGGCACATGAGTTAGTGGGTCTGAAAATAAATCCTTAAAATGAAAAGCTTTTAAGCTATTTCAAAAATGTATTTGACATGCCTTCCCAAATACTTTTTCTCTTCTTTGAAAGCACGAATAGTAAGGTATGGTATGGCATAAAATTATTAAAATAAAAGGTATTTTTTGCAAAAGGCAATAGTGGTAAAAGTTTTCTGTGGGAAAACTGTAACAAGTTCATTGGGTAGAGATGAAATAAGATTTTTTCAGCAATATACAGACAGAGTAAAGCTGAAAATATGGGTATATTTGCTATTTTCTACTTACTTGTATTTGTAGATTAAATAGTAAAATACTCATACCAGACATTATTTGGCATAATAGGGTTTAATACCTGCAGATTGATCTACTCTCTGTTTTTTCACTATTTCATTGAACTGGCATATCACTTTTAGCATAGTATTGTCTTTCTTAGCCTATTTTATATATGTGTAAATACACATATAGTATGCTTTACCTTATTTAAACAAATGTTCTTCCAAACTTGTTTTCGTTTACTTCTCTCAGTAATTTCCTCTATGGAAAACAGTCTGGATATCAGTACCCAGATAGTGCACCGTGTGTCCATGTACTCATCTGGTACATCTGAGTACTGATAAAAATGCATTGGAATCAGTCTTTTGGCTCTCTAGAATTCCTTAGTATATGTAATTTTCAGTACTTCATTTAGCTTGTAGTACTTATATATATTCCACCTATTCTGCTCTTCTGCAAGAAGCAGAAGGTGCTAATAGTTTTTGAAAGCACAGCTTTAACAGCCAGATTATAGGAGTTATAATTCTGAACATGAAGGCAATAACTTCCTGCAGCTCATAGAAAGGTGACAAAATTTGGGATGGAAATGGAATTTTGGACACATATTTTTCTTGCTAATTAAATTGGGTGACTGTCAGCTCTAACACACTCGTTTCCGTGTCTTCCTTTATTGGACATCTAACTGTTGGAGTCATGTTCCAAGTACTGAATAATCTGATCCATAGTTCCCTTTGATTTGGGTTCTCCATACACACAATGGGGATTATAATGATCTCTTTGCAAAAAAATGGGGTTTAGTGCTTTTATGACTTTCAGATATGCTATAATGATGAATACTGCTGAAAAAGCCTTCAGAAGGAGTAGAATTCTGTATTCAAGTCAAGGTTTGAATATCTGTTGTAGGGATTGCTGTGTGAAGGAAGAGTAGGAGAAGCCTTCTGGCCTCCACTTGGACATCAAGCTGTTGACCACAACTCTTTGAGTGCAACCATCCGGCCAATTCCTTATCCAATGAGTGATCCATCTGTCAAATCCATGTCTCTCCAATTTAGAGATGAGGATATCATGTGGGACAGTGTCAAATGCTTTGCACAAGTCCAAGTAGATGATGTAGATTGCTCTTCCTTTATCCACCAGGACTGTAACCCCATCATAGAAGGCCACCAAATTTGTCAGGCACGATTTGCCCTTTGTGAAGCCATGTTGGCTGTCTCCAATCACCTCCTTTTTTGCCATGTGCCTTAGCATAGTTTCCAGGAGGATCTGCTCCATGATCTTGCTGGGCACAGAGGTGAGACTGACTGGCCTTTAGTTCCCTGGGTCTCCTTTTTTTATATTTTTTAAATATAAGGGTAATATTTCCCCTTTTCCAGTTGGTGGGAACTTCACTGACTGCCACAACTTCTCAAATATGATGGATAGTGAATTAGCAACCTCATCCGCCAGTTCCCTCAGGACCCATGGGTGCATCTCATCACGTCTCATGGGCTTTTGCACCTTCAGGTTCCTTAGATGGTCTCGAACCAGAACTTCTCTTACAGAGGGTGGTTCTTCATTCTCCCAGTCCCTGCCTTTGCCTTCTGTGACTTGGGCAGTGCGGGTAGAGCACCTGCTGGTGAAGACTGAGGCAAAAAAGTCATTGAGTACCGCAGCCTTCTTCATATCCTGTGTAGCCACGTCTCCCTTTTCATTCCGGAGAGGGCCCATGCTTTCCCTAGTCCTCCTTTCATTCTCATGAACATATCCAGTTTCACATCCAAAATGTAGAATATCCAAAGTGAATTTTACATGCTGCAAAGAGCAGCTAATATAACTAAAGCTGATGTGTCTCTCCTCTCTCTTCCTGTTTTTTCTGAGTTTGTTTTGGAATGTTTTTTGGAAGTAAACAGAGCCTGGTTAAGTTGCAAAAAGTTTTATATAGAATAAATTTTTCCTTGTACATTTTTACTTCTCTAGAACAGATACAAATTATTCAAATTATTTTTGATGACACAGGGTACTGATAGTCATACCTTACATAGAGTTAAACATACTTAATGTGTACTAATTTGAAACTTTTTTTTTAATGGAAGTCCTGGGGTTTTTTTGGTTCAAGTGTAAGCATTGCAAGTTCATTTTACATTGCAGAACAGAAGTCTCTGAGGACACTGCCAATCCATTAGTTAGAAGCTTAAGCAGAATGTTCTGAGGTTAATCATTCACCAACAGTCCTGCTTGTGAGCCTCTTAATACGCATCTTTATCGCCAGCTCTGCATACAAATCAGTCTTCTGCAAAGGGAATATATGTATCTTTATTCCTGCAATATTGAGAACCTGGTAGTGTAAACAACATTGATTATGTGCAAATTGTTTTAAAATTAGTTTTGTATTTAACATAATAAACCCAAGGAAGCTTTTAAAGCTGCTGTATATTTTCTCATAGAATTGGATTTCCTTTTCTTTTAAGAAAATTGTTTATGGAAGGTCATCAGAATACAAATTGTATGTCCAGTATATCAGGTAAACTAGTAAGGTAGTAAGAACATCGGCGTCTTAATTTTGTACATACTTAATACTTTGAATAGTTTGATGTTGTTAAAGATGAATGTCTGAATCGCACCTCCTGATCCATCAGCCTCTGCTGAGTAAGTAATCATTTAAAGTATAGAACGTTTCCTTATGACATTCGTTTCTTCAGAGTTCAGTATTAGTCTTACTGTTTCATAACATATGCCTTCCTCTATTATGCATTGTGAAACACAGTTCAGGTTATGTTCTTTCTTTGCAAATATGCAATGTTAGACATGTATGATTGATTGTTATTGTGTCCTTAATCTAGATGTTACTTTTAGATTTGGGCTTCTGTATTTGAAAGAAGTGAAAAACAAAAAGCAAAAAGTGAGCAAAACTGGACATGAAAACCCCAAACATATGCTTGTTAATCATTGAACCATTTGCTGTTTTTGACCTCTTTAAAGGTCAGTTTTCCTGTGGAAATAAGCGCTGTGATGACAAAGAAGGCCTTAAGAGCTGGGAGGTGAATTTTGGTTACGTTGAACATGGTGAAAAGAGGAATGCACTTGTGAAATTGAGTAAGTCAACCCTTCAAGGATACGTACACTTAAAAGAAGACAAATATCTTGTGCTTTAAAAGCTATCAAGTGAGACCCAATGGCAATGGTATCAGTTCATGCAAAATGGAAAATGCTGAATAGGAGATAATTTTGTTAAATTAATTACAGGTAGTATGATGGTCTTGATTTCAAGAGAATGGTTATTATCGTTATATATGACAAAGTTGTTACAGGTTGAGCACTTCGCGTTGTATAATTGGTGTTATAAAATTAGCATAACTGACTATAAGCTGTTTTGTATACAAGCTTGTCTGGTTTTAACAGCCAGTATTGCGTTGCAAGGAGGGTTTTGTCATTGTTGTTGTTTAATCAGTTACATGGCTTAGGAATCCTTAGGGCTTTGGATGAGACAACTTTTTGCACACCTTCAGCTCTACTAAGTCTTGTCTCTTGACAAGTCTAAGAGACTTACAAGTCTTCAGTGTAATTGTAGAATAATTTGATCTGTTCACAAAGATCCGTAAGATGGGATATCTACATGATAAGTATTGATACTTTTTTTAATGAAGAGTTGCCAGTGCTAAACCAGCGATCTTTTCTCTAGGTTTAGTAAAATCTGGCTTTGTACTGAATACTTTTTATCTTGGTATTTTTCTCAACCGTGGCTGCAATTAAACTGTAACTTTTGTTTTGAAGGAAAAGTTGCTGAAATTGGAAGATAGCCTTCTATCTAGTTTTATATATATATTAATAAATTTTGTTAACTGTGCTTATCAAATACATGGGTGTAATGTTCTCCCTCTGTCTTTTTCAGGACTATGTCCAGAATGTTCCTACAAACTAAACTTTCATCACCGGTAATGAAATACTTTGAAAATACGAGGGCTGAATTATTGCTAGATTACAGATATGATGAACAGCAAATAGGGGGAAGACTTCAACTAGATGATTAGGAACTTCATTTATGCTGAAATAGATTCTGTTCTGGAAGTCTTACAAAGTCACTGGATTGACACTGTTTAGAGTTTGATATTGTTGTGCTAATGAAAGTACAAAGCCCTTCAAACTGGAATAATTCTATCCCCACCACAACAAAAGTTTCCTTTGCTTAATTTCAGCCCAGTGATTATTTTTCTTTTCTGAAAGTTTATGCAAAACACTGTCTTTTTTATTTTCCCTCTTACTGTGTTTAAGAGCTGGAATGCTTTTCCTTTTCTCAAAAATAGTGGGTTTATGTGTGAGACAAGTGACTGTGCTTTGAATTTTTGAGTTTCAGTATTTGTTCTTCTGTGAGAATCACTTATTAAGGAGAGAAAAGTAGTGAATTTTAAACCTGTAAAATGTGTGCATTAAGATTTGATTTGTTTTTTATTATTATCTATAATCTTAGTAAATTCCACAACTATTGATACTCAGTGTTTATGATTTTCTGAATCTCAATGTGGCATTAACTTAGTTGCACGGCTCAGTAATTAAGCTGTACAATTATGTGAAAAGCATATGAAAGGGAAACCTTTGAGCTAGGAAATGATGATTTCTTTTTTAAAGTAACACAAAGGTGCATCTAGATGAGTGTATCCAAGATAGATAATTAGTCCATTTCAAAAGTTAGTTCATATCCAATTTCATTAAAGCACTGTGTAGGCACATATTAAGGACAATTAATTAACTGAGATTAGTTTGATTTGTCTTGCTTCTTTTTTGAACCAAAATTGTAAAACTAAAATTGTAAACCCACTTGTTTAGAATAAGCCTGGTTAAACATTTCCTCTTTGTCAACTGCGAGTATTACTTTGAAACAATTTTAGTGACTTCTTTGTGCAGAGAAGCAGGACAAAGTTAGCCTATTTCATACAATAAGCCTATTCTATAAGTAATGCTGGAAATAAAATGCATGGGTTGTTGGTCTGCAGCAGGTTCTTAGGCTTGAGATTCTTGACCTCAGGTTTTGTCACTATCAAATATGAAATATATTTTAAAATCTATATTAACCGTTTTTCTCATTACATATATACAAAATTGTTTAGTTTTTTTTTCACTATATATATATACGAAATTGTTTGCTAAAACAAAAAATAAGATTTCAATATAAATAAGGGTTTGACATGTAATTAAATTATTTTCTATATTTAATCTTTGATTGCCAATTCACTGCCAATTTTAGCAGCTTTAGCATTTCCTGTCCTTCGTTTTTGGCTATAGAGCTTTAGTGTTTCTATAGCACACTTCATTTTAACTAAATTGATTCGTTTCAGTTTAACTAGTGATATGTTTCAGAAAAAAATGACAACTGTTTGACTGAACTAAATATTTAAGATTTACTGTTGCTTGAGGAGTACATATAATAGAGAAGGTGTCCTTTTTTTTTTTTTTTAAAGGAGGAAAGAAGTCAAAGCATGCAAGAAAAGAGGCACAACTGCACCGGGGTCTAAAGAACCAAAAATTAAGAAGACAAAATTATCTCGTTCAGCAAAAAAGAAGTCAAAAAAAAAGACCCATAAAGGTAAATTTAAATTTTATACCTCCTTCAATTTTTAAAATAGTAAAATATGTTAGTTGAGTCTTAGTTTTGCTATAGCTCATTATGTGTAGCCATAAATATATAATTATGTATAAATACAGATATGTAACATTCTTGACTGTGTAACACAGGTAGTCAAAAAGATAAATTTCTTCGGTAAAATTTCCTAGGTGCACAAAAAAGATAAATTTAGAGAAAAAGAAAATTCTTATATTTTACACAGAGAGAGGGACCCTTTTGAAAAATATGCATTGCATGGAAAATTTGTCCAAGAATTGGACACTGCATACCAGAAACGGTGGTGAAGTATTTAAATCCTTGAGGCTTTGGGGTTCAAAGCCTTTTGGAAATCACAGATAACCTTTTTACAGCAGAGATCTTGTGATAACATATTTGAGCTCCAACTGATGACTTTCGAACTCCTGCAAAAAAAAATCTTATTACTCCAGTGTTTGCTTGCTTTCTTTGAATGTATGGTGTTTGCGTGCAGGTACACGTTTATGTGTAATATATTGTGACAGAAATATCCTTGTAAACAATTTAAGATAACAGATAAAACTAAGATAAATTTAATATTTTTAAATTTTAAATATTATAAAAATATTGTTAAAATACTATAAAAATGTTTTTAATATTTTAATATTTCTTTCCAGATCAGGTTTCTTCAGAAGATTCAGATAATTCTGATAAAGGTAAAGTATTTGAATATCTTCTGTGTTTTATGGTTTTGTAATAACTTGTATTATTTCATGGTCATTTGTCATTGGTCTTAGTTTTATTCTCTGGCAGTTTTAATATTTTATAAGACGATAAGAATGCTGTCTGAAAACAAGCAGAGATATGAAGGGTCAAAATAATTACTTACAAATTCTTGGAGAAAAACTGTAAGGAGTTTTAAAAAGGAAATCTTTTTAAGTTTAAGTAAGGAATAAAAATGTGGGCAGATAACAGAATGGAAATAATCAGAAAAATTGGAGGTCAGGTTGTTCCAGAAAAGAGTAGAGGGTGCAAAAATCGGTACATTGTTAGTAATTGCATGGGTCTATGTGTTGTGTAACGTGTGCTGTGTAAAGAAAGTACTTTTCTGATATAGTAACTACTACATTCACTTTAAGGGAGTGATACTAATATGTACACTACTCAAAAAATTAATAGATTTTAAGTAAACCCTAGGCTTTAACTAAAGTCTTTTCCAGCTACCACCTGTAGTACCTCAGAGACTTACTTGTTTTGAGTAGATGCACTCAGAATGTCAGTGAGTCCTTAGGCACTAGTTGTCTCTAGCTCAGTAATTCCAGTCCCCAGTTTCTTTTTTGATGAAACAAGCCCCATCTCTTGGTCATGCCAATTCTTGCTGCAGACTGTCTGAAAGGATTGAGTGTTTCTACTGATTGCTCTGCTGTGATGTGCATTTTTAGGAATATCCTCAGCACCTACGTTTTCCCAGCTAGGTACAGGAAGACCTGAAGCAGTTTACTTACTACTCGAACCATGCCCTAAGTCTTTGTTTTGTTAGGAAACTTCTATTGGAAGACTGGGTTTTTTTAGGTCAGGCCATATTTCTGAAAACAAGGTTTTTTTTGTTTTCACTCGTATGTGTACTTATATGAAAGAGTTATGCAGCAGTTTCCTGACAACTTCACTGATAAATTACAACTGATAAAAGTTGTCATTCAAGTAGAAGTAAAGTAATTGATTCATTTAATATCATAAGTTGAAACTGTATTGTAATTCTGGATTTGTGAATATAAACCCTTAATTTTAGGAACAAAGTGCTATGCTGCTGTTGTGTCAAGATCAGTGTTTTGACATGATTGTTGTTATGTTTGACCAGAATATTAGTTCAGGATATAGAAGAGGTTTTTTGATGCTGTATTGAATAATATTGAAAAATGTTTTCGATTTTACTTTGTGCAAAGTGTTCTTTTTATTCTCATGGTTACAATTAAACATTGCTCCTAGCATTATACTATCTAAATAAAAAAAGATTAATTATTTTAAAATGTCTTTCATAAGCACTTCAAATTTTTCAACAGATTCAGATAACAGCGATGCACAAGATGGTCCTTCAGATGCTGACTTTTGGAAAGGTCCTTTACAAGAAGCAGATGAAAAATCACGGTTAGTTTCATCTAGTGAATTTGTAGCTAGTAAAACATAGTGTGTCTGTTCAGAACTGAAAAGGCAGAAATTTTTTCCTGAGCATTTTAATGAATATTCTGACATTTTAAATTATGTTAGATCTCCTTCCACGTAGTGAACCTAAGTATTAGTTTTTAAAAGAGAAGACATAACACAACACTGGAGGAGAAGACTTTGTCAAGCCACTACTATGCCACTGCTGTCTTACCCCCTGTTGTGCCATTAACTATCTTAGAAGTAAATCCTAACAGTCTACTCCCTGCTGTTGCACAGAAGAGGAAATGGGAAGGATATTGGAATGTATTGAAAAAGTCAAAATGGTCTATACCAGCCACAAATTCTGATCGGAAGCCTGCTGAATCTTTTTCATACAAAGATTATCTCATAGGTACTCATCCACTTTTTTTTTTTTTTTTTTTCAGGGAAGAGGAGTTCGATGAGTATTTTCAAGACTTGTTTCTCTGAAACTTGAAATTGATGTAGGCTGATTTTCTTCATGAATTGTCAAGATGAAAGTCTGGAAATCCAGTCATAATTAGAGACCAGAGAGCTCTTTCTGCCAGCATTCCTTTTCTACAGTCACTCATATGGACCATCTCAGTAGATTACCTTTGTAGAAGACTTAGGTCTAGAAACTTTCTTTTTCTTGTGGTAGGCTGTATATTCATGAAATAAGAGCAAGTATTTTTTCAGTTCATTGAAAAAAATACGTGGCACCCAAACTTAAAAGTAGGAAGGATGTAAACAAATAAGAATATAGTTCATTGAGATTACCTTAAGGAAGTTGGCTGCTTTTTATTTTACCTCACACTTCAGTTTTTGTCAGATTTTTGTAAAGGGGCATTTTGGAAGATTCTGCCATTAGTTTAAAGCCATACACTTTAATATATCTAATTTATTAAACAAGAGTTAATAGCCTTAAATTTATTTGTCATGTAGACGTTAATATTCAGGTATTAGTCTTTGTAAGTATTTTCTAATGCTATTGGAGAAGTTCAGTTTTTATCAAATATGTATTTTGCTTTGATTAAGTAAACAATATGTGAAATGTTTCCCCTGCTTCTTAGAAAAGTTTAGTTCATTGTGACGTTGTTTTAAATTTTAGTTATAATATGATGTGAGTGATAATTCCACTTACAGAAATCTGGTTGGCTGGTAAAATTTTTGGTATTAAAAATAAAGGTGTGTGGCTTCCTATTGGAGATGTACATGTGACCTGTATGTTATCTGTGGTTTCTGATCTCCTTAACATTGATTGAATGTTAATCCTTCTTTAAAGTGTAATCCTAAATATACAAGTAAAGAATGTATGTTGCTTGAGAAACTTACTGGATTCATCTTCCTCTTCAAATTGCAACACAACTTTAAACATTCTTTATTTTATGTTTCCAAAGAAACAGTCTGCACGTGAATAGTTATAGTGGCTATTTTCTTTATCGATGAAAATTACTTTGGGTATAAAGAACAAACTTTTTTTAACTAAGTGTTCATGTTAATCTGAAGAAAGTTAATGTTGTATAAAATATATTTTTGATAAGTGCTTCCCACTGTAGATATATTTATAGAAAGTATATATAATAAGTATTTGATGTGGAAAATATAACAGCAGAGATGGTTGCAGTGTATTTATGAACATTTTACACGCACCCATATGAATAAGTTGAGAACTCTATTTACAAGTATTACTTAACATAATTACATTTTAAACAGTTTGTACTTACATAATAGATGACAGTAGAAGGACATATTTAGGGTGTCCTTGAGTAAGAAATAAACGTAGCCTTGCATGAAGGCTTCTTTAGGTAAGAAGGTGGATTTAAAGGTTAATTCTCTGTCATCTAGCAAGCCTGGTGGAGAGTCAAATCCAATCTGCAGCAATCTGCTTACATGCATGCAACTTGCCCCAAGGGGCTTTTGTTGAATGTGTTGCTATATTTGTTGCTTCAGGTATTGTATATTATGTGTTCTGGATAACGAACTTCTCTTTGCGTCTTCAAATACAGTTATGAAATGGTACAATATACATATTAAATACATCATTTAATACAGTTTGAATAAAATTACATGATTAAACAACCTTGAAATAGCTTTCTTTAGTGTCTGCATTTAGTACAGAAAATAATACATGATACCCAGTTTTGTCACAAAAAGTTTGCGTAAAATATTTGGCCCGTTTATAAATAAGGATGTTGTAAGTGGGATGTTTTTTTGTGGATTCCTTTAATTTGGGGTGATAGTTGTACCCAGTACCTGTGTTCGTAGAGTATTGTTAGAAAGGTATACAGTATGACAAATTATTCAGTCATTCTCCCTTCTCTCTGGATGCTGAGGGCCCTTCAGAAATAAAAGAAAGTATGAGTCTGCTTTCTTTAAAGGGAGAAGAAAACTGTCAGAATTGAGTCTGCATGTCAGACTTGTTTGTTACAGGGATTGCATTTGACATCTGTCTCCTCTTAGATTTGGAACTGATTCCACTAAATATCCGTGTATAATATACTAGCCATTTTCCTTCCTTCATCTGCAGGAGGAGCTGGATTTGTGGGACCTGAGTAGAAGGTATGGAGTGGACTCTGTCATTCTTCAAGATCAGAAGGTTTTGGTAGGGAGATCGTTGTTCATGAACAGCTAATTTGTGTGCAATCTGTCTTCTTGGTTGAAGAAAGAGAGGTAATTTGAGTTCTGATGTGCTCTACTTCTGCTGTCTTCTCCTTCTCGAGATTAAATTGGTGCCAGTTCATTGGTTTTAAAGTACTTTCATTTACTGCATTTTGAAAAAGGTGCGTTGGGAGTACGCGAGCCTTTTAAAATATCTTTGAATGTAGATCCTGCTTTAGAGGGATAGGTATCTTAATAAACTCTTCTGCCTTTTTACATTTTTACAATAAAAGGTGGTCAGTTTAGGAACTGCAGTCAGCTATTTGCATATGGGCAAAAAAAGTCGTTTCTCTCAGCCACGGCTTCAATTTATGGGTTTATTCTTAGTAGTTTTGAAAAAATACTGTGTATCATGGTCCTGTTTTTAATAAATATGAGCCAGGGAGTTGTGTTGAACACTCCTAAAGTGAAGGAGATGTTTGCTCTAGAATTGTATATAGTATTGGGAATGAAGGAAAAGGACAATTCCAGATTAAGGAAATACACAGAATATAAAAATCTAAATATACAAGTTATGAAAATTGCAATTTTTTGTTTGAATTGTACATGTTAGATTTCATTCAGTAATTTCATATAAGATCTGTCATATTTATGTTTTTTCTGGACAGTGTGCAGAAGTAACATATTTTAATAAAAACACTGTATATAAATTGAGTGACATGAAAAAATATCTAGAGTGCACAGTTAACTCATTTTGCACCATTATTTTTTCTTTTAATTTTCCAGTTTTTAATTGTAACTTTGTTTACTCCATTAAAAATTATTTCCAACAAATGGCAAGTGTTTAAGAGGATTAGGAGATCGATCTATACTATTCTATGCGAAGCAGAAATCCACTGGGGCTTATTGAAGTTCTTTCTAGATGACTTTTCTGTAGCAGAAACAGTGTCTGAGACAAAAAATTACAAAATTATACATGTTTTGGATTTTCCATCCTCTCCGCTTCCGCCACCGCCTCCAGCTGCATTTTCAGCTAAAAAACAGAGAAGGAAAGGAAAGTGAGTATATTCTCTTAATTTTAGCTGCTCTAATTTTTTTGTTAAAAAGATGTTGCTTTTGTGATACATATAGTATGTGTGTTTGATCTTCTGAAATTTGAACGTGCTTTCACTACACGTCTGGGAAAATGGAATAAGGAACAAATAACACATGCTATATATACATATGTGTATATAGTGTAGCAGCTGATACCAACATTTCTTAAAGGACCAAACACACACTGAACCACTCTTACTGGAAAGTTTCAGTACTTAAATATATATAACTGTCCCACACATACAAAACTGAGGTATGCAAGCCATGCAAAAGACATAAACTCTTGGGTCAATATAATCTATGAATCTATTTTTGAAGCAGATGATACAAAAACTTTAATTTGACCTAATTGTGTAAGCCTTTATCCAACCCTGCATTAATCCCTTTGTAATTACCAATTAAGAGAGAGATGCTTTTTATGTTTGTTATCTATAGCTACTGATTCTGTTACTGTCTCTCTCAAATGATTCCACAGATGTTCATTGGTCATAGTTAAGATTCTTTCAATGTAATAAATTGTGTTTCCAGGTTCATTTAAGGTAAGATACCAATATTAGAATTAAAACTTACATTTGAAAGCTGTGGATCACCATGTTACTAGGTCATTTTCGACCCTTTCCACCTGCATTGAAACATGTCACATAATCAGTGTCCTACCCTCTGTAATTTGTGGATATAATCAACACTATGTTACTAACTATGTATTTTATTTTCTTAGTTTAATACTGTATTCTGTTGTCGTTTCTGTTCTGAACTTTCCACTGTAGTGGTTCAGCAAATATGTTTATTTTGGTTTCTGTCTGCTGAATGGATAAGAATAGCCAGGTCAGTGTGATCTAGAGAAACCACCGTGGTTCAGCATGTATCAAATTATTGTTTGTATGCGCTGGCTTAACAAACCCATATATTTACATGGCCTTGATTTGACAGTGCCAGATTTGTTCTCCACGAATGTGCATGGCCTCATTCAGTGCACATTTAGAAAGATGCAAAATAATTCACTTACATTTTGTGATACCAGTTATGATGTGCAAAGGTCAGATCCTTAGCTCCTGCAAATCAGCCTGTCCATGCTTGCCTGTGTAAGATTCCTTGTGGGAAAATACTTCTTTCTTTCTTTTACTTAGTCAGTGACTAAGTGATTCTGAGAAACCTGTGATGTAAGATGGTCCTAACTTCAAGTGGGAGTAGAAATACCTGAGTCTTCCTAAATGTATAATTTAATTTTTATTTAAGAACTTTATGCTTAAGAGCATCGGATCAGACTTTAGTAGCTATACTCTTTGCCAAGAAAGCAAATGTATAGGGAGGTTTGTGTGTAGGCCCTGTTTTGTTTTGTTTTGCTTTGGTTTGCTGGTATTTCTCTTCAGATGCTTACATTCCAGTGTAAGGAAAGAGTACTTTGTTCGTACTCGCAACCAGTTAGTTCTCAGGAATATCTCAGGAATAAATTAATCTTAAATAAGTAAGATGATATGATTAATTGCAGGTAAGTGTCTTGAAAAATAAATTTAGCAGACAATGAGGTGGGCAGAATTTCTGTGAAAGTGTGTGTAAGTGGTATCACAGTGTGAACAGGCCAAATATTTCTTACAGTAATAATATTTGACTCATTTTATTAAACTGCTCTTTCAAAAATCTGCTTTCATTAAATCATGTAACTTACAGTACTTTTTTTAACCGCTTTGCAACAACTTTTTTTTTTTTTTTCTTTTTAGCCTAGTGACATTTATTTTAGGAACCAATAACTCTCTAGTTCCACTTCACACTCTGAC